TTCAGGCTGGACTGAAAGCAACACAAACTGTGGCCAGGGGTAGTCCTGCCCTCGCTGGCTTCTCTGCTCACTGTTGACTTTGGGCTCTGTTTAGACTTTTTTATGTTTTACTTTTCCATCTCCTTCTCAGTGAGAAACCTTAAAGAGTCAACTGAGACTCCCTTCATGCGCACGAGAAACCAGCAAGTCAACGTGACTCGAGCTATGAAAGCAGTGTCACCTTCCAGGTTCAAAAACATTAGGGAGGAAAGAAAGAAAGAAAGAAAGAAAGAAAGAAAGAAAGAAACTCTGAGCCGCTCTCACCTCTGGCGCAGTCTGACAGTAAGACGGCCTCGAAGAGGAACAGCACAATCTTCAGGACGTCCATGCTGTCCAAAGACAACTTCATGTTCCTGTAATCTGAAAGACACATGGTCATAGTGACACAGTGTAACATAAAGCACAAAGCTGGACCAGAGCTGTGGCTGAGGGGAGTGTGTGAGGTTCAGGGGGGGAGGAACGGGGGAGAAAAACGTTCTGGTCCGAGCCATTTATAGACGTTTTAATAAACTGATCAAAAAAACGTGAAGGTGTTATATAATAACACCAAGGGACGAGCAAAGCAAAAGTCGGTAAAAGACATTAACACATAGTAATGGTGAAATACTTTTAAACAATATTTTAATGCCAGTTTAAGGTAAATAGTATTTTCATTTTTTCCGGATGTTGATAGTTTGTTTCTGTTATTTTATTGTGAGGTAACAAAGATGTTTGACATAACAACAGCTCTTTGTGATAATAGAATACTGTAGTCATATCAAACACAGCAACAGGTTCTCAGGTGTAGGCATCTGTAATCTTGAAATTAAATGTATAAAAAGAAGATTTATCGAAGTGAAACGAAAATTATAGTTCGTTCCAATTCCATTCCATTAAATGTTTACATTGTTTCACAATCTAGGAAACGTCATCTCGATTTTAAAGTTAGACATTTTGGTCAACATACTGAATTTTCTGTAGCTTTGGGATTTTAACTCACACTATCCATCCATCAATCCAACATATTATGAGTGAGGACTTCTTTATAAAAAAAATCAAATTTACAAAACAAAATTTAAAACCTATATTTTACACAGGTTGAATTAACATCAATATTTTTATTTTAAATATGAAGTATTCCTTATCAATTCAAGTTAATTTTATTTGTATAGTTTATAGTAATTCAAATAAAGTCACTTTTTATACTACGTTTGAATTAAAATGATCTCTTTAGCTGCTGTAGTGAAAAAACAAAACAAAAAACAGAGTCAATATTATCATATCATATTGAGTTTATATTTATTTATATAAAGTTCAATCAAGGTCCCAGCTGTGGAGTTTATCAACCACGAGGTAAAATTAGGGTTTTATTGACGTTAGCATAGCACGGTAACGTTATATCGGCTAAAAGTTCAAGCAGCCTATCACGGCTAACTGTACATTCAACGGTCAACTTTTAACCCCGGTATTTTCCTACTGTACCGTTTCTCTGACTCGCCCGTTGACTCCTGGAAAACTTCGCGCGCTCAATACGTTTTGAAATAAAAACACAACAAAACAAGTGTCATTTGAAGTGTGTCGGTTGTCGGTACCGTACCTGGACGGTGGGTGAACCAGGTCAGGCTTGTCGTAGCCTCTCGGCAGAAACGCTTCCAGTTTGTGAAGTCCGTGTTGAGTCCATGAATCAGGAGTGACAGTGTTGGACTGTTCACCCACACAGCACCGCTACACGCCGGCCAGCCACGGAGAACAGCCACGGCAAAGACCAACGCGTCCACGAACCACAATCAAAGTGACATTGACTACAGCACAGAGGAAAAATAAAGACCTTCCAGAAGTTCCAGACTCTTTTAGTCCTCAGCGTCCAGGGAGGACCGACTTTCTCGGTGTGCGCGCACACACACACACTCACACACACTCGGTCACACGCACACTCACTTACTCACTCACTTACTCACTAACTCACTCTCTCACATCGCTGAGGTTTGTTGTCCGTCCCTGCGCTGCAGCTGCTGGCCAATCAGAGGCCAGGAAGGCCGCACGCGCTCACACGCCGAGACACTCACGCGCAGCAGCTTCATCACACTGAGGCTCTGTCACTTTTTCTGTCTGTGCCTGTTTTCTGTGTCTGATTCAGACGGTCTGTCAGCTGCTCTCCGTCTGTGTTTGTTTTTAGTTGTGTTTCCGTCTGTCTTTTTGCACATCTATAGGTTTGTTTGTATGTCTTAATGTTTTAAGGACATGTCTGTCTCTGTTCCCTCAGAGCAGGGGTGTCAAACATACGGCCCGTGGGCCGAACCCGGTCAGCTAGGAGGTTCAATCAATCAAGTTTAGGAAAAGTAGGAAAAAATGCACCAACAATTCATGTTGGTGATGTTTTGACAAATTATATTTCATTAAATATTAATATTCTTGTAGTTATTTGAAGTAAAACAAAGATTAGAAACATGGACTGATTGTTACCTATAGATAATTACATTCTGATTGTACTGGTCCACTGGTGCGGCCCACTTGACATCTAATCCGGGCCATATTTGGACCCTGAACCAGAATGAGTTTGACTGTCTTTTCTGTTTGTCTGTATGGTTAGGAATGTCTGTTGTCTCTCTTTTTCTTGTCAGTCTCCACGTGAGTTTGTATCGTTTGTCTGTCTTTTTGTTTTGTGTGTGTTTCCCTGGCTGTCAGTCATCCTGTCTGTCTGTGGGTCGGTCTGTTTCAAGTTATTGTCAGTCTTTTTTTTTATCTTTCTGTCTGTCCGTGTTATTCCCTCTGTCTGTTCCTGCCTGTCAGTTTTTCTATCTGTTTGTTCTCTCTTCTCTCCGTCTGTTCCCATGTCACAGGTTCTATCCATCGTTCGTTCAGTCATTCTGGTTGTCTCGCCCTCTCTACAGCTACTTTCTGCCTGTCTTTCTGTTTGGGTTGTCTGTCTCTCTTTCTCTGTCCGTTCTTCTTCAGACTCTGTTTAACTTTTTTCCTTTTTTTCTCCGTCTTTCTCTCTGATCCCCTTTGAACCAGGATGAAGAATCTGCACTGACTTTTGAAAAAAACGAGGGAAATAGTATTTCCTCTCATCAAATGAAATGAACCAATTTAAAGGTCCAGTGTGTGACATTTACAGTGGTTTATTGGCAGAAATTACATTTTCTGCCCTGATGTGTATGTGTTTGTGTGAGTTAAAAAAAATGTAAATAAAAATGAATTTTTAGCCTCACAATGAAGTTTCTACAGTAGGTGGCGCAGTAAAAGCCATTCGTGTACAGAACAACATTTTTTATTGTCATTTTACACTTGCAGTGGAACTCTGTGAGATGCTTGTAGGTTCCAAGTGTTTGTCAAAATGATTGACAGCTGGACTAATAGATTTTTAGGGCTTACATCTGGGCGTGAATCGTGTTTCCAAACGTACATGGATTCTCACACCACGCTTTAGTATCTATTGTTGTGGTTTACAGGGCGATGGCAGCGTCCACTGAATACATACCGCCGGCCGCGGCCAGAGCATGGGTCACTTTGACACTGGACGTTCACAGGCACACAGTTGAACAACAGTCAGAGCTGCTTTCAGGGCTTTTCCTTGGGAGGCAGGGTGAGCTGAGGATTCCTCCATCTGTTGTGAGGAGCAGTTAAAAGGAGCCCAGAGAGTCGCACACGGGAACAGCTGCTTAAAGTTTGCAGCTCTCTCTCTCTCTCTCTCTTTCTTTTCCGCTCTCTAGGTGTTACCTCAGCTCCCTGTTGTCTCCCCTCCGTGGATTGTTACAGGGAACGAAAATGGAATCAGGGTCACAAGTTTCAAATTTTACTGCCACGTAAATGGAGCACGGAACTGAACGAATGTGTTCCATCGGAGTGTCTGAACGATCCCGGGTCCGGCTGAGTCCTGAGGCCACGATTTGTTTTACTTTTAGTGTATCATTTATTTGTGTTTATTATTTTATATTTATATATTTCAGTAGTTCTCACATTGAACAATCATCACTAAGACCAACAGGACAAACACTCACATACAGATACAGTATATGAAGTAGAGAATCCAATGCTAATAACATTATTAGCCTAGTTTTAAGCCAAAGCCACGATGACAACAACTGGTACTGAAACCTCACCCCTGCACATACAGAGGTGCTCCGTCCTCGTACACGTCCACCTCTGCCCACTCTGGTCTGAGCTGCTCCATACTGGAAGAGTTTCCCCATGATTCCAACTCTCATTTTCAAGATGTGCAGTTTGGAGCCATGACTGCAGTGTTTCATAATATTCAGTTTTAAAAAAACAAAAAAACAAAAACAAACAAAAAAACATTAGATTCCTCATATACCACTGGAGGGAGCCCAAGTACAACCAGCGATACGTGTAACACAGTTTGAGAACCAGTCGTCTATTGTAAAGATGCTGAAATCTTAAAAAGAAAATACAAGTGAAAAACATGTGTCCCAAAAGTTAAGGCAGAGATTTAAAAACAAAAAGTGGTTTGCGGTCCCCGAGTGGTTCAAGAACTAGTGATTTCAATTTCTTGCCAGCACCATGTAAATGGTCATGAATGTAATTTGACTGATTCATTTAAAAACTTTTTTTTTTGCAATTTAAAAAAAATAGATCAATAAGCTTACATTTTCAACTCTAACACTAATGAATGCATTTTGTTGCTTATGCTTATGAAACGTATTGTAAAATATCATGGTTAGAATTTACAGAAATTACATGATGAGTTCAGCACTCAGCATGTGAGCTGTATGACCACAGTTCAACACTCAGCATGTGAGCTGTATGACCACAGCATAAGCATGTGCTGCCACCTTGTGGACTGCAGACTGGCTGCCGATTAGAAAACGCGAGTTCTGTAAACACGGTCAGCGAGTTGTAGTAACTGTTACAGTACGAGCAGAGTAACACGAGTTTTATCAAATCTGAAATCTAACGGTGAGTTAAAACTGTCCACTTTATTTCAGTAGTTTGCAGTGAAGACACAGAGACATTCAGTCTGGTTTTAATCAGGAAAAGTAATTTATTTCAATATACATTGCATTTAAAACTATATAACATTATTTATGTGTCGAGTATTTTACACAGCTCTTATCAGAGAAATAAACAGCAAATTTACAAAATAAGACCAAGCTCTGAAATAATGATAGGATTTTCTGCCCTTTGATTATGATAATGATTCCATGTCTTTTTTTTTTTTACATAAAGCACTTATAGCTTATCATTTTGTCTTTATAAACAAACCAAAACATATAACATCATTTTTCAAACTTAGTTCATGTGATGGAAATAAGCTTTATCCAAGTGTGGTTTCTGAGGATGTGATGCCTGAGGAGCCTGCTTTAAGTCAGAGCAGAACTTTTAACGTGAAGTAAAAGTGTTTAATCCTAAGTCCATGGAAGAAACCGTTCATCTGTTCAACACAATGGAAGCAGAGTGAAGAGCAAAAAGGGAAATCATTCGTAAATATTATCATTCTGTGAACCAAACATCAGCGTCAGCCTGACAATCAACAGGAAGAACTGGGTGGAAACAAAGATCAACACAATTTTTTTCTCTCCAAAAATGGGCTCAAAGTACACTGTTTTGGTAGAAAAACCGTCTCGAATTGTGCAGAATCACTGCGGTCAGCTGTAATGTTTGACCAGAAATAAGTTGGAAGGAGGGAAAACCAGTGTCTTGGAGACCGTGGGCCAGGAAATCACAACATGTTTGTACTTCTTTTTTTTTTTTTTCAAATCAAGATACGCCACTGAGCCAAGAGAGTTCAACTCTCCACTAGGGGGCCTCATAGCGATAAATGTTTAGAATCCTATTATCCATCGGGTGTGCAGCAGAGTTTGTGGGGAAAATTAAACATGCCATAATGCAAGTGTGAAAGCAGAGGGCGCTGCCCGTTGCGGTCAGTTGTGTTGGGAGTGGACTCCGTTTAAACATTCACTGATAATAAAACCTGGAGGAATTTCAATATAAAAGTGTTAGCTGTAACTCGTTACCTTAATGGGACTGGCAGCCTGGTCAAGTGTGGACATCAGTTTCAGACTCCTCTGTGTATCTGCTGCCAGAATGACCCTTATTTACATGGTGACGTTGACTTACATTCTTTTGATAAATCCAAGTCCCGAGGGAGTCCCTGGCACAAACGTACTGTAGGAAGCTCGCTAAAGCGTAGGAAAATAAGTCACAAGTCTTTTCATTTACACTTAAAGTAACATCAAACAAAGTGGTTTGTTCTGTTCTGTTTTTTTTTCTTTTGTATTTCAAGCTGCTACGCCACATTCTTGCCCAACTCCAGTCAAAACCTGCTACTGCCCCTTCGTAAACCTTCTGTTTCTGCAACCTTAATCACACAAGCATTTTTGAGTGATTGATGTCGGCTGGGCACAGAAGTCATGTCTGTGGTTCCGACTGAGGCACCGGTGTTTCTCATCTTCAGTCTGTGACTCTTGGGTCTTGGTGCTCTGTCAACCTCAATGGCCCAGACTCTGGCAGCGTGGCACTCGCCTTGTACACAACCCCTAGATTTGTCTGTTGCATACGTCCATGCTGCAGCGGGCTGTGTGCTTTTTTTATTTTATTTCTGTGATAATTTGAATAATCAGATGCCAGCTTTGTCACTGTAAAAGGGCGTGACATGGAACATGTAGCAGTGTGTGCACACCCTGACCGGCTTCACCTGACCGTAGCGGGGCAAAGGTGCAGAGTGGGAGGAGCAGCGAGAGCAGAAGATCTGAAACGACAAAGTACAAAACAACGTGTGAGTCATGGGCCGCCGGCTCGGAGCCATCTGTTTCCACAACAGTAACTTCAGCGGCGGCTCTCCTGCCAACTGGACTGCTTCACAGAGGAAAAGCTCGCTCGTACCTTCCCACAGCTCCTGCAGTGATGCTTCCTGCGGATGACAGTGAACGGAGCCTTGCAGGCAATGCAGGAGTTACAGGCTTCATCGGGGACCCAGTCAGGAGGATCTGCACGGCGCCAACGAGACACAGTTAACACAGAGAGAAAAAAAAGAATGGGCTAACATTCACAGTGCACTCCTGAGCGTGTTTTGATGACCTTCAAACTGGCCGTCCCGTGCTTTGGCCGCCAGCTCGGATGAAGAAATGCTTTCCTGACAGAGAGCACAGTCCTCCAGCACGGCACTGCGCAGGACAGGAGCTGCTACGACCACAGAGCAAGAAACACATCACACATCCCAACTCAATTAGAACAAATTATTCTTCAGAAGGGAAATAATCAAACATTAAGTTTTTTTTCCTTCTGTTATAAATATTTACTCAAATAAGGCAAATTTTTATTCTGAGGAATCAAGGATGACGGCTGTGTCCCCGTACCTTTCCTTTGATTATCATCGTCTCCCTCTTCAGTTTTAGTTGCCATGACTTCAAACAGAGTCTTGAGAATGCTGCGAAGGTCACTGGCATAGTTGGTCTGCAGCTGATCCGCAACACCTGCAGCACACGACGGAAATTAGATGGAGAGACAAAAGAGACAGAGAAGTCAGAGAGAGAGAGACAGAGAGAGAGAGAGAAAGTATTTACCTGATATACAAACAAAGAGACGGTGGATAAGGTCACTGCTGCTGTGGAAACGTGATCTGATCTTGTTCCTGTTGGCCACCTTGGCGTCTTCCAGAGCCAGCTGGATCTCTTGATGGTCCAGGTCTTCTAAAGAGCTGGGAGTCAGGCTGCTCACGGGGCTAGACGAGACGAGACGAGACGACGAGAGACGTCGTGAGACGTCGGGAGACGTCGGGGGTGGATCACAGAGAGAAATGATCGGAAAATGTTGAATAACGTTAAAGCGCAGAGATGATAGACTGTACGTCTCTACAGGTGTCACGGCTGCTTACTCACATACACAGAAATCTGAGACGCAGTATATGGAAGTATATGGAACATCCTCTACAGCCGCACCACAATCCACTACGTTACTTTATGTTTTCACAAAGATCTTACGTTGTCAATTACAATTTTCTGACCTTCATTTAAAGGCAACATTTTTTGTCGTTTGCAAATCAGATTAAAGGGTAAGCGTTAGCTGCCACCAACGTCAGTCGTCACTGTTGTCCTTTGTTTATCCCATAATGGGGAGGTTCACAGTGTGAGTCTTTGTAATCCACACACACTTCCATTAAGTATGCGATTCCTCTGGGGAATCGAACCCAGGGCCTCCTATGTGTAAGGCAGATGTGTAACATAGGCGTGATAACTGTTTCACTATGGAACTACCAAACCGATGGTGCAGCTGTCAATCAGACATATTGTCTACTCATCTTTATTATTATTTTCTCTAACTAATATCTACCAATAATCTTCACTGAAGAAGAACTGGCTGACGTGGCCATAGACATGAGGAATAAAGACATACAGATGGAAGTACGCATGTGTATTTCTCCCTTCACTAGTTAAACTAACAGAGCGGTTAAACTATAATGAAACACTGCTTTATCACGACAAAGGAAATGAATGAACCCTGACTGAACACCGTGAGAGACACTGTATTTGATGTCAAGATATTTTTGAGGTTGAAATGTTTCCCGACACTGAGTTGAAAGACGGCAGAGACACATGATTATTCGGACACTGTTCCAGAGTCATGAGTTACCTGGGAGTGTATGAACTGCTCGACAGACTACATGAAGTGACCGACACACTTTCACAGTCACTTCCTGACACAGAGCTGAGGGGAGAGGTCTGAGAACTAAAAACAACCAAATGAAAAGTAAAAACAAATTAAAAAAAAAAGAGGCGTAACAAAAACACAGCTTAGAAGCGTAAAATTCGTAAATAACAAAATGACAAAGCGACACATGACAAAACCAATGTGGAACAATCAATGACAGCAAATTATTCATTTAAACAAAGTGTGGATCAAATATGGAAACGTTAAAGTTGGAACGAAACATTTAAAAGGAAACAAGAAAGCTGCAAAATGAACCAATGGGAAATTAAGAGATAGCAGATGTCGCCCCCTTGTGGGGAAGGGGGGTATTGTAGTGCTAGGTAACTAAAACATTCGTAAGATAGACTTATCTGAACACCACACACCTGGACCTCCTCCTGGTCTCCTCTTTGGCGTCCCTTTTTTCTTTAGCTCCTGACTTGTCTTTCTCGTTCTCCTTGACCTTCTGACCTCCACTGGCTTGCCTTTTTATTCCAGTCCTTTGCTGTTGGTTGGCGAGGGAGGATCCATCTCCTCTACCAGAGCTACTGTCCTGAGCAGGATTCCCGGGCCCAGGAGCAAAGACCAGGCACTTCTCACAGAGCTGAGAGTTCGAGTCCTCTTCTGGTGGCTCTGCGGAGCTGTGGGACGACGGCGGCGTCACACGGGTGAGCTCTCCCTTACCGTGGGGCTCGTGGCCTCGCGGGGGAAATCGACAAGCGGAGGACTGAATGACAGCGCTGGTCGTTTTGGAGAACTTGTCCAACCCCAGGGCGAGACCTAAGCCCAGTCCATTGGTCTCAGCTGGGACGGGATCATCGTGGCCGTCCTCACAGCTCCCGCAGCAAACACACGAGTTAAGAAGGCAGTGAGTGGCCACCAGGGGGCTGCAGGGCTCAGCCTCAGAGGGAGCTGGACGTGGCAGCAGCAGTTTGTCCACCGCCAGCTCGGTCAAGCTGGGGGAGCGAGGGTTGAAGATGACGGTGGCCGATAACTTCATACCACCCATACGGTGGGCAATGACCTCGGCCGTTTCAGTGGCGGTTCCTTCTAAAGCCGTGTCCCAACCATTGGTGTAAGGCAGAGGTTCTGCACCGGGAGCAGCAGTGCATGTTGGGAGCTTCACGTGATGACAGAGTGGGTTTTGACCACGCGGCTGTGTGCACGGCTGATCCGACGGGTTCTCAGAGTACCAGCCGTTTCGTACAGAGTCCGAGCGAGGTTCTAGCCTACGCTGCACGGGCCGAGCAGAACCAGTTCCTTTGACAGAAGAGTCGACCAATCCACAGGCCTCTCTTGATATGCTGGTGACGTGGTCTCCTGCTGCATCGAGATCCTCCATGAAAAATACCCTGTCCTCCTCCTCTGTGGTGTTGCCCGTCCTCCCCCGGCCCACTAAAAGCCTGCGTGGAGACGTGTCGGTGCTGGAGGCCCCACTGGAGCCTCCTGTCCCTCTGCAGCGAGCCGGGGACTGACCCTGACTGGGAGGAGACAGCAGTGTGGACATCTCATCTCCTACAAGATATACCATCATATTGAGCTGCTCCAGCTCCTCCTCGTCGTACTGCATGGAGCAGGCCAGCTCCGCCTCCTCCGCCTCCTCACATAACAAGCCCTGTTCCCTTTCCTCTTCTCCCCCCTGGGTCTCCACCTCCTCCCAGCCTTTTCCCACCTCTGCCAGCTCCTCCTCGTCTTGACTGGGACAGACATCCAGAGCCAAATTCTCTTGCTCCCCCTCGATCTCTCCCTCGGAGGTGTCATCGGTGTAACTGCAGGATGACTGATTTTCTTGGACCGGCTCTGGGGCTCCGTTTGTAGCCAGGCCAGGGCCTGTGGACAACTCTCCGTCCTGAGAGATGCACAAGTTCTTCTCCAGTGTCATCAGCTCGTCCTCCGTCAACGTCTGCAGCAGATCTCTGCAAAATGAATGTAGCTTTTAATACAGGGAGAAAAAAAAAATCTTTAATGTTTAATATTCTTGGACTGTTACCTGATTTTCTTCAATAAAGTGCGGAAAGGCCGGAAGAGCTCCGACATGTCTTCTGACTTGCGGTGAAGGTTTAGAGGCCCTTCTGAATACACAACCAGGCCACTAAAATACACATAAAACCTGTAGGCAACCAGCAAACAAGGGAGAGAGAGGATGAAGCAGGGGACGAGCAGCACTTACCAAACAATGGCCAGTCGGGGAATTGTAAACATGAGTGCAGGTTCGTAGTCATCGATCATGTCCTGAGTGAGATAGCCCAGTTTCAGGGCCCTGAAAAACAAGGAGCGAATAATAAAAATAACCCATCCACAAAAACTGCTGCGATTCTGCGTTTCTTCAACACGAAGACTCTGGTCAAGGCTGCGTGTATTCACCTCTCCACCGTTTCACAGAAGAGCACGA